TAGACAACCTCTAGCTCTAGGTTAGCACCACAAAAGATTAGTGAAGGTTCAGGTTCTTCCCAATTTTGTATGAGTATTTTTGCATTTGGGCGGAGCAAAGCACATCAAATCTGGATACCTGTATCAGTATCCAATTATAAAAACCAAACAATTGTTTTTGGAAAGGGAAAATTAACAGAATAGGTTGTTTGGGGTTAATTTCCCCTTCGGACCGGATATGGGACTCTGAATAACTGCATAACTGCTAGGTCAGTTAATCGTCGGAATACTCGAGATATGGGGTATGTGGTCCAGGGGAGCTTAAACACCTGCACAAATTGTCTGATTCGAGGATCGGACGGCTCAGTACAACGATCAGTGCATAGGTGACTTGGAAGGGCCAATACATTCATTTTCGCAGCTTTGAACCGCTCAAAGTGAAGATAAACTTGGTACACTGTCTAGCAAATAGAGCAAGGAAGATTTGTAATCAGGACACAATAGACGAGCTCCGGTTCTTACTATCTTCAAACAATACAGCTCTCCAGAACGACTGGTTACTAAGATGATTCAGTGCAGTGGATATTGCGAAGACCGAGGTCAGAAAGAAGGCGGTATACATTGCCTTGTACTACTCTAATGCTTCCTCATCGATCGAAAAACATTCTACACCGCTGTTGTAATGTTGGGTGGTCTACATATCAACCATACACACCCTCTTTTCTCTCCCCATCTTACCTCTACTCCCCCAACACTTCACCTCTCTTGGGTGCTTTAGACGATCGTACTAATAGTAGTGCCTTGGGTGGAAACTCTGCCGCTGTTCGTTCTTGTTTTATCTCGACTAGCATTCAAGTCTCGCTGAATCCTCCATCATTTGAAGCACTTCGCCCTCGGTATCCTTTCAAACTAGCCACGTCTAATGTGCATACTCCGATGCGTATAGGACAACAGGCGTGTTTAACTCGTACGCTCGAAACCCTAGCCATCGATGTCTTGCATCCAAGAAACTCGCATTCAAGACTTCAGCTCCATTATCCGATTGACGTTCCCATCAAACCCATCAGTGAAGTTTCACTTACGCCTCTTTAGGGACCCTGGGGCTACCGTTTTCGGTCTTTCTAGCGTCGGCGTGGCTCTCAGTGAGAGCTGAGGCCGCCCTCCTGAACTAGATCACAGTCGACAGTAGGTTGTGCTCAGTGAGATTTACAGGTTCGTGCAGAATAAACAGCCGTCGCCCCAATAGATGAAACCTATTTGTCGTGTCGGCGTACGCCCCAACGGACTTCAGCCCAGATGCAGTAAAAGATGAATTTTACCATAATCTACACCTCTTGCACAAAGCGAGTCGGGCTGATATCGTGATTTTAGCAGGAGATATGAATGCTAGTGGGTCGGCTGACTTCGAGTGAGGCGCATCTGGGGAGAGCCCTTCGGATTAGATTCCTGTCGCTCGGAAAACGGGGAACGGCTGTTGGCTCTATGTTCCGACAACCCAGCGACTAACGTAGATAGACCACAAAGCTATAAGCCACAAATAGCGCGGCTGCATACAAGACTACCGGTCGTACTGGAGCACTCCTCTCGAATCCGACCACGCATTAGTATGCACCAAGCTGTCCATGTGCTTTGGTCGGCGTTCCAAACGCACGACAGGACGGTTAGACTGTGATAAGCTGTCCAAACCAGCGTGTTCAAGTATCTTCCAAAATGCGCTAGCTGAAAAGCTAGAACCCACCCGACCGACGTTAACCAGCACTGGTCGCTTGTGAAAAATGCTCTGCATTATGCTGGCTTAGTTAGTTGTGGTCTGACACGTGACACCCGGGATCTCTGCGGAGTCTCTACGCCTTCTTGACACATATCAGCGAGCATAATGAAACATGACTCGTAACAAGATGTGAACTTAATGCAAGCCTACACAGAGACCGTGAGAGGATGAGGATTGTCGTTTGTTGGAGACGTTGAGGGATATGGCTCAGAATAGAAGTCAGTGGAACAAATGTTGTACGGTCTGTCTGTCTAAATCTCGTACCCCGTAGAAAACAACAAACAACACAGAAAATATCAAAAATTTACGGTGAAACACAAAAAAGTTTGTTATCCCAGTTATTTACCATTTTCCAGTGTTTAACTGTTTCACTCTCTTTCCACTTAGTTTTGTATCCCAATCCACCTAGCCCTTATTGGTATTATTGTTGTGGCGTTGGTACCATGCATGTCTACAAGCCCGTGTTAAATATATATCATATATATAGTCAGGATCGAAAGGTGGATCGAAAGGATTAGTAATCTGCATGTGCGCCGTTGTGTTTGGGAGGTTATCGAGGGGGAGACTTCATAGCTCGTCGAATTCAGATGAGTAAGCTTCGTTGGCTACGGCACGCATTGCGTATGCTCAACTGTCGTCCGCCGCAGTGCTGTATTCACTGTAGCCGTTCCAGGTAGATGGAAATCACATGGAGGACAACAGATGACGGAGAGACGAAGCATGAAGAAATGCAGAGTATATCACACAGTGATGAATGGTGGTCGGGTTTCAGTGTCATCGACATCAACCAGCAAATAATAAATCACGTATGTACGTAAACAACAATGTGACAATTTTTGAGATGGACCAAGAGGAGTGTAAGAGTTTACGCAGATTCTATCGTCAAGTACGTTGCACTGCCTGTGTATTGTCCCCCAATAAGGCGATGCCATTCGTCATCAACATCGTCCAGTGAAATAGAGAAGCGAACTTCACTGATCGCTGCCAAACTCGCAATGCATATGCACTGGGGTTTGATGGACGGGTACTGATAGGGTGACCAGCCAATAAGCAGGAGAACGATTAGGATTCTCAACCAAAGCCTTTACTTTTGACAAGAACCTAGCCACAAGGGAGCCGGTGAAGCGAAGTAGAGGCCCATTTACTTGAATCCATTACTCCTCCACCATATCTTACCGAATGAAACGCAAACACCTAACCTGGGGGACCGGGAGACTGGACTTCGTCCGACCTCTATCCTTCGACCTCCCAGGCATGATTAGATCTTCGGGTTAACGAAATCCATCCTGTGTAGCTCGTTGGATCAGAGAGATGCACAAGTCATCACACCACGTCAAGGTGCAGTCTCGTTGTCACCATTATCATTATTATTATTATGCAATGCAAATCTCATTTACATGATAGGGACCTGGATTCGAGACGAATAAGCCTCGAAGAGTCATTGTGATGATTTTGTATTATGTTGACTGACCCACACAAATCACGAAACAACAATCTTCATAACAAAAAAATCAATTCATGATTTGTAGTATCACGGTACTTTCACCTTGTCTACGAGTCCTCTTCGACTCAAAACAGGCCTTCGCTTTACCGGGTATCATTTACTTGTTTAAGCTAGACCGCGGAATAGACAATTGTCCCGATGAGTTACACTATCTCTTTGCATGTGTAAACCTTTCCCTGCAGGTCTCGGTCTATAGACCGTTGGCCACGCGTTGTCCCTTTTCGTATTCGTTCGGGGCTATTGTCTCATTGCTCTTCACCGTATTCGCGAACCTTGAGGTAATCGGCATTTAATTATCGTAGATAGCGCTATCTTAAGATTTGCTCTTGACAAAATACTGCCAGGTTGACCATGACAAAGTGAAATTTCTTGAGGGATTCACAACCGGAGTATTCGGGCAGTCAAAGGCTGATCCACAAGACAGCAGGTCTGTTTGAAAAACACTCCATTGAGGGCTGCTCTCCAGGTTATTCATCTTCTACTCGGAGTCAAACACCTCGAAGCCCAATCGTGTCGCTGGTCGGGGCAGAATCAAGAGGTGGGTGTGATTCGTGCGCCACTTTATGCTCAAGAACGGAGACGAATTCTTCACTAGCGGGAAGGTGCGCAGTTGGGTTACCATTTAAAATCAGTAGACAGAAAACTGGTGGAGCGCATGGCTGGAAAACCGAGCTTATAACTAACATATTCCGAGGGTCGCTATGCTAACCGAGCCTTCTGTAAGCGTGTCGACACTTCATTTGTGATGCGCCTGTCGGGTGATATATAGCTGTTTAAATAGTAAAATTTGTCTACTGCCTCTGTTCGTTACCCAGTCAGGGTCGGGTTGGGGACTGGGTCAACCCAATCTTGGAGCAACATTCAACAC